CATAAGGAAGAACTTCTTCACTGTCTGAGCCCCCAAGGCCTGGAATAGCCTGCTGCTGGAGGTGGTTCAAGCACGTACTTTGAAAGCCTTCAAGAGAAACCTGGATGTTTTTCTTGCTGGGATCCTATGACCCCAGCTGACTTCCTGCCCCTGGGGCAGAGGGCTGGACTCGATGATCTTCCGAGGTCCCTTCCAGCCCTAATGTCTATGAAATCTATGCTAGAGTCTCCTTGGTGTTTTATTACACCCTCATTTTTACAAAGTTTGTAAAGTACTATTCATTCTCTGAGATGCACTATAAACAATTAGAGATGACTGTTTTTAAATGTGCAAATAATAAAAATAATGAAACACTAAAAAATACCAAGCCAAATCTGCTGTGGAAAATAATTCACTGCTACGCATGCTATATTATGGATATAAGGGTAGAAACATTTTTATGGGGGCACAAATGGTGAGCAGATAGACATCCATATCCTTTGTCATGTCACATCAGTGACCACAACAAAAGGTAGTGTAAAACAGTGCCACTTTATAACAGCAGATGTCTATTTGCTCTGTGGCAGGAGAGTATACTTAATAGATGCCCTGAGCGGTTACTCCAGGGGCAAGAGGCCAAATCCTGCACATTGCAGGAATTCCCATGCAGGATTGGGCTCATCAAGCTCTGAGAGCATGTGCTTACCTCTGTTGCCCTGGCAAACCCCAGTGGGCCTCTCTGTAAGCAGAAAAAGTTGGGGTTCCCCACTTCTGAACACCCACCCCGTGAGGCCCCAAGTCCTCACAGGGTGGGGCCTCACAGGCTGGGATCTGTGTCAACTGTGCTTCACATGGAGGCATGGGTCAGTGCAGGACTCAGGGAATCCCTGGTGCCCTGTGTCTCCACATGAAGCACAGGTTGGTGCAGACCCAGCACACGTCCCAGAACAGAGGCATGGGATGCCAGGAATTTCCCAGGTCCTGCACTGCCCTCTACCTCCATATTGGAACCTGCTTATTGGACTCCACCCCAGTGAGGCCCCAAGACTTCATGCTGTGACCTATGCCAACCTGTGCCCTCAGAGGCATGGGTCAACATAGGTCCCAGCATGAAGGCACAAGTCATCTGGGATTCCCCAGGTCCTAGGCTGCCTTGCACAGACCTGCACCACCCAGAGGCATGGGTTGTCAAGGGATGTCAGGAATACCTGAGCAACAGGCATATGTTGTCCATTGTCCCTAATCAGGCCCCTGCCCAATGTGCAACAATGGGCGACGTGTTTCATCCAATAAACCAGGTCCAAGGCTTTTTCCTATTTAGTTGCCATGTACTGTCACTGATTTGCCAATTAATATGGCTCCATACTCTATGTATCTGAGAACAGAATTACACTTGTTACTTGCTTTCATATTTAAAAAATCCTCTGGTTTTGAAAGGGAAATCTAACCTTGTTGTTCTCCTTAGCCAATGAATGGAAGATATTTGCTACCCTTTGATTAAACTACATCACAGTTATGATGATTTAGAACTTGTATGCAGGTCTTTATAAAATAAAAAGGGGAATGGCAGATTGTGTGATAAGCTTTTGACCTTTCATAGTAATTCTTGTCTGGTATGATAAAATATGCTATATTGTTTTGAAAGACAAAGGCTTTGACTAAATCTCATTAAACCTAATTACAGCCCAGCATTTCACATTAATATTTTTAAAGATATTTTGCCCAAGACAGTGCTTTGCCTTGGGAACAAAAGAAGAAACACAAAGATGAGAGTTAACGGTTACCTAAACAAATTGCATTTGGCATAAATCCCCTCTGTAATGACTCCCTGATTAAATGCAATGAACATTAGTAGTGAGATTGTCATGTTTCTTTTCAGGGAAATTTGCACTCCTGTACTACCCTAAAGTGACCTGCAGACTAGTTTGGAAACCACTTGAAGTAACAGATAAAACTAAAATGTTATTTTACAGATGGGGTTAGAAGTACAAGATTAAAGGCCAGATCCTATTCTATCTTTTAGATGCTTAAGTGGCACTTGGCTAAGGATTTTTGTGGGTGATATCTTTTATTGGGCCAGTTGCATATCTGGGAGGGACACAGGCAAGCTTCTGCGTACCACTGTACCCTTCTTCAGGTCTAATTGCTACTTAGGCATCCATATCTAAATTCAATCCTATTTCATCCTGCTGGAGCTCGTGAACTACTAATGCACAAAATAGGTGAGTCCTCCTCACTGCTTTTCATGGGTACACTTTAAGGCTAAGATGAAGTCACATAACAGAATTAGATAAGTCAGTAGTTTTGGGTCCTTGAGCAGCATAGAACGGGGTCACACAAACTTACAGCATTCCTTGGCCCTCAGCCAGGCCATTCCTGAGCCTGCCCCGCTGATACTCCACTCCGAAAAGTACTCTGGTGTGGCCACTTTACAGCAACCTTCTTGATGCTCTCAAGATCTTGATCTCTGTTCTTCAAGGAGCAGCAGGTGATGGCCCCAGAGTGGCCTCACCAACACATCTCTCAGTTTGAAGTCCACACACAGGCACCGTGGATGGGCTGTACTTGGGAGCAGCACAGGCATGGCACGCTGCTGCTGCAGACTAGATAGGACCTTACCATAGCACTGGAAAGAGATGTGGAATCAGCTGTGATGGGACATGTCCCACCACAGCTGATCCATTTCACTGGGCAAAACAGGTCAGGCCTCGCTGTCCTACAGCAGGCGGGTGCCCCATGTGGGACCTGCTCCCCATGCCACGGGGTTCCCTGCCTCCCTCACTGCCCTGGACCTCCTCGCCAGGACTCCTGCTAGCCTGCCGCTCTGGGTGAAGCAGGGCTTCAGCACAGGTCCCGTGGGTGGCCCACAGCTGGGCAACCCCGCGCCCCTGCTCCATGCGCGGACCCACCCGGCACCGTCCGCTCCCC